AAGACGCTTGCAAGTTGGCTGTTTCAGTAACAATTGGCCTATGGGCCTATGTAGTCGATTGTAATATGGTAGAATCATGGCAGCCGATGAGCCGGGCGGTTTGATTCAGAACATGTTTCATGTTTGGGGCCCAGGGTGGGCACATGAAGAAAACACACAAGGAGTGGACTTCAACGGTGGCTGAAATCTTTGGCCCCTTCTTGCCTTCCGTCCAGTTCTCATTGACTAAGGGGGACAAATTTCCCCAGAGTCAGAACCGCGAGGGATAAAGCCATGATCCTTCAAGCGAAAGTCTTGGGACCTGGGAAAAGCTCGTCGCCTCGTTGCCTGCGGCTGACTCGTTTTTTCAGCCGGGCGAGATGCCCAGGCGCCTGAAGCGAGCCTTCCGGGGGGAGAACACCATCGGCCAGGCGGGGCGGGGGGTGGGCGGTGGGTGTCAGCAGATGGAACTGGGGGGTGCAATCAAAACCCGGGGCATGATGAAGGTGAGGAAAGGGTAGTCCCAACCATCAATCGGGTGCGGCCGTTTTAATTCCTGACCTGGTTCTGGGTAGAGCATTTTAATACCGATCGGTTTTGATTGTGACTCAATTCGGGGTAGTTGTTTCGCTCTTGCTGGCAGAACTGGCTAAGCGCGCTCCCAAAGGCTCCCTCAGCGGAATGGGGGTAGTGGACAACCCTAGATGAACAAGCCGCCCAAAAATCAAAATGGGCAGAACATCGACCCTGTTTACCACCTGCCAGGGCCTTCGGAGCAACCTGGAGTAACAGAACTTCCGTTGGGTTTTCCCGGCATTTCCTGCCCAAGGTGCCCCTTCCTTTTTTTTTGAAGGAACATGCTTCGGCATCCATAGGGGGAGCCTGCCGGAACTTGAGTCGCTTGGCTTCCCCCTTTTCTGGCGCCAGGCATTTGGGAAGCTCCAAACACAGGGCCCAGAGGCCATGCTTTTGACCGCCCTAGTTGAACACCTGGCTCGAGCAAAGCGTTTTGAGCTGGGCCTCAAAATTTGGGGCCCCGGGGAGCTCTCAGGTGCGGAGGGCGGCGAACAAAAAGGGGGGGGGGGGGTGGGGGGTTGGGCCAGGTCGGTGAGACATAGGACTGCACTTGGTTCAAGTTGGTTCGATGTTCATTTGTGCGTGTCATCCGTCTTTTTCTTCTTTGTCAAAATGACACCTGGGCAAAAAGGGAAAATCACCTTCACTTTTTCCCACGAAGGTGTGCTCAGGAGGTTCTAGAGAAAATCGGTATGGAGCATTCCCAAACACAAAGTCTCAGCACACCTGTTGATGCTTGTTTGCTCTTTCCAGCTTTCTCCATCATCCCCTTCTTTGCCAGGTGAAGCTTGGTCAAAAATTGCATTCGCCTATGGTCTATTTGGGGGTTTGGTAATCGTAGAGTCAGCCATGTCCTCTCAAATCCACCATAGAATGTTGCACGCTTCGATTGAACTTAATGGCCAGCTTGGTTGATCCCTGAAGTATAAGGCAAGTAGGGAAGAAGATCCACCCAGAAAGTTGCCGCACATCTTTTCACGGTTTGGTAGTCGGAATCAAAAGGGTGGTGCGGGTCGCGGGTGGGGGGCTTGGCCAAAAGAAGTGGTTTACAGCCCACAAAGTACCCTCAGGCAACTTTGCGTTCTTGGAGTCCTGGTTTGCACCAGTGTCCTTTAGAAAACTTTAGAAGGACCATATTGTCCCTTTAAAGGGACCATTTCCCGAACGTCGGGTTCCATGTTACTAGCTGCGCGGCCAAACCTAAGCACCCAAAGCCGAAGCAAAGGGTCCTCCGGTTTCCGGCTTTCAGGTCTACGCCTTCGCCATTGTGGAGGCCGGTGAGGCGCGGTCCGCCACTGCGCGCGCCAGAGGGGGGGTGGGGCTTTCTGCAGGTGCTCGAGCCCAAAAACGGTGGCTTTGCGGTTGGTTTCCTGTAAACCAATCCGAAAAAGGGCGCCCTCAAGAAACACGCGCCGGGTTAATTAGGCCTTGGGGGGGGGGGCCGAAGCTTTCCTCAATGTATTTCGTGACTAACCCACCTGGTTCTGGAGTTTGTTGAATTGGTGCCCTTTGTTGGGTTGTTGGAAACGGACATCGAAAGCAAGCCACCCATCATGGGGGTTCGCCATGTTGCCGTCCGGGCGAGGCATCACCATTCACCCATGTGAAATAAGGGGCTTCCCGGAAAGCGCTTTCGAACCATTGTATTCTGGGGGCTTTGGTTGCAACCCAACACCTTTGCCACTCAAGTTTGCCCAGTGTGAAGGCAGAAACTCAGATTGGCATGGCTTGCCAGTACCTGTGGGGAAAGAGATAAAATGGGGGCAGGGTCCCAGAGGATACATTTGAGCCGGTCAGGAAGTCGCCTTTGGCCAGCTGATGTAGAGGATCCCTTACAATTCAGCTGGTTTGTGGATGTATCCTTTTGGCAACCCGGCAATTTGGCCTTTTGGCTTCCCAAAACCAATGAAAGGGAAGACTGCTGCCAGAATTGACACAGTAACTCTTGATTTCCGAAAGATGGCTTTTGGGCAGCCCTCCAAAAACTGGAGGTTCCTCTCAAATGCGCCTGTCTTTTTTGAGGTTGGACAAGCAGAGACTACAAGGAAAACCACTCATGTGGGGGTCGGACCTAAACAATGGTCATCACCCAAGTAGAGTACAATGGGTTTCTAACCACATCCTTGTTTTGTTGGTGGTCACCTAAATTAGTCATCATGCAAGCAGAGGACTGCGGATTTCTAACCACATCCATCTTTTTGTTGGTGGTTACCTAAAGAATAATGACATCACGCAAGTAGAGCACCATGGATTTCCAACCACATCTTTTTTTTTGGTTGGTGGTTACCCAAAACAATAATAAGCTCAGGTGATATCCCCAACAGCATGCAGTGCTCTTTTTAGTGATCACCACCCCGCAGCCCTCGCAGAACCTCGTGGAACCCTCGCAGAACCTGGTGGAACCCTGGTGGAACCCTGGTGGAACCCTGGTGGAACCCTGGTGGAACCCTCGTGGAACCTTACCTCAGGGCCGCCCCGGACCACCCCGGAGCCTATCTGGGCTGAGACCCCAAAGTTGTCAGCTGTTGGGGAAAAACATCACCCAAGTAGAGCACCATGGGTTTCTAACGACATCTTGTTTTTTGTTGGTGGTTACCCAAAAAAAAATCACCCAAGTAGAGCACCATGGGTTTCTAACGACATCTTGTTTTTTGTTGGTGGTTACCCAAAAAAAAATCACCCAAGTAGAGCACCATGGGTTTCTAACGACATCTTGTTTTTTGTTGGTGGTTACCCAAAAAAAAATCACCCAAGTAGAGCACCATGGGTTTCTAACGACATCTTGTTTTTTGTTGGTGGTTACCCAAAAATAAATCACCCAAGTAGAGCACCATGGGTTTCTAACGACATCTTGTTTTTTGTTGGTGGTTACCGAAAAATAAATCACCCAAGTAGAGTACCATGACTTCCAACTACATCCTTTTTGTTGGTGGTTACCGAAAACGTAGTCATCACCCAAGTAGAGTACCATGATTTCCAACCACATCGTTTTTTGTTGGTGGTTACCGAAAACGTAGTCATCACCCAAGTAGAGTACCATGATTTCTAACCACAACGTTGTTTTGCTGGTGGTTACCTAAAAACATAATCATAAAACAAAACAAACACCCAAGTAGAGCACCGTGGGTTTCTATCCAGGGCGTTCCATTTTTTGTTTGGCTCACAGCAAAGACTTCCACCCGGGGCCGAGTTTTCGAGGCCCTGGCCGGTCGGGCCTTCCGGCTGGTGGAGACCATGCCGCGGCGCACCTACGAGGCCCGGCGGGTCTCGTTGGCTCGGCCTCGGGTGGCAGCCCGGGCATGCGGCTCCTTTCTCCATCCAGCCCAGCCATCCGATTTTTTATTATTTTTTTTAGATCCCCGCTTTTTGGTGTTTGGTGGTAGGATTTTTATTTAAGCCACGCAAAGTTGAGGGCAGCCCGGTCGAACAAACAAGTTGGTGGTTTTTCGGGGAAACCAACAGGAAGCCGCTCATTTTCAGGTGGGGCGCCCGATTGTCTCAACTTTGGTTGAGAAATTGAAACCCACGGCCAACGCTGGAAAACACAAGGGGGGGAGGGTTCTCAAAATGGGACCCCTTTTTGGTTGGTATTTCAAAGGAAACCAAAAGCACATCCCAACCACTTTACGGGTGACAACCACCCACACAGCTGGGGCCAGTTTCCTAAGATTCCTCAAGTACCAGCTTAGGGATTCCACTTTTGCACTGCTCTGAATGTTTCTTTTACTGCGGCAGATCAAGTCCAAACCTGCACAGGGGAGGTAACTCTCTTCAGCAGGCTGAGTGCGGGAGAGATCTTGTCAGGCTAGCTCCTTGGATACGAGGTTTTGACCGACGGTGCCCTTGTTGCGGCTCTTGGTTGTTCTTTGGTTTTGCAAGTTCGCATTGCAACTGTCCGCAGCCACACCCCATCTTTTGGCTGTAAGTATCCGAATTGGGGTCCGCTTCTGTTGCAAGCCACCCCCAGGGCAATTTCAGGGGATGGTGGGATCTGACGGGAAACTACACAGTTTTTGCCCTGGGAGGGTGCTGCTAGATCTTTGCCGCCGCTTCCCGATCCGATCCGGCTCCAGTAATTCAAGCACGGCTCTCACGAGCGCCGCAGCTCGCCCCTGGCCGCGTTTGAAGTTGCGGCCAAAGGGCGGGCGCTGCTGCCGCTTTGCAACTCTTGAACCGCTGGTGTCCCGGATGATCAAGGCGTATGCAACCACGTGACTCGTTTTGGACGATGTTCTAAGCACGCAGCGGCCTCAGCTACTCAAGGTGCGACCCTCATCAGTGATGATGATGAAGTTTGATTTCTCGAGGCCTTTTTCAGTTTGGTAAGTTATGATTCATACCTCAACCAGCAACATCCATTCCAGAGGAAGTTCGTCGAATCCCAGCAAACATCCTCCGGGCCGCGTCCAAAAGATGTTTCAACATCAATGGTAAATCAGTTTCCTTTTCTTCCCTTGAGATTTCCGGCAACGCGCCGGGCTGTCGTGCGACTGCGATCGACCTCCGGTCGCGCCATGATCATCGTCCGCTCCGTGACGGGGGAGGTCTTGCACGAGAGGCCGGTGCCGGAGGATAAGTCCGCAGTGACGGCAAGCAGCCTCAGGCAGCAAGCGCCTCGGCATGCCTCAAAGGGATCTTCCTGGATCTGTGAAACTACTCTGGATGGACGAAATTCATTTCGCACCACTTAAGAAACCCTGGAATGATGATCCCCTGTAAATACCAACCAGCAATGGCTTCTCATGGTCGCAGAGTGGTGCAGGATTTCGGCCATCCACAGCATTTGTTTAATCTTGAGGTTGACTAAGTGTGCACCAAAATCAGGCGCATATTCTTCTTTGTTGGGATGCAAGAAGCTGGAGATGGGTGCACTACTTTTCCCTTCAGGGTCAGCTTTCTGGGAAATGCGTGAGGTGTTCGTTCTCCCTTAATCCGTGGTTTGTCAAAGTTCAGGTTAAAATGAGCCTCGCTCTTGGGTGACGTTTGTAAGTTTGAACTATGGCGAACCTCCAACCTTGACCAAAATAGCCTTTGGACCTCTTGGTCGGCAGGCAGGTATAAAATGCCAGATAGGTATGATGTGATCCGGTTGCTCCTAGTTTTAGCTAGTTTTAACCAACATGACGTTTGGATCTTTTGGAACATGATTTCGATTCCCTTAGACTCGCAAGAGGAGAATTTGAAAATGACGGTTTGTTTGCAGATTTTGGGTCTGACGAAGAACGCCGTCCTGTTGGAGAATCTTGCCACGCGCGAGCAGCTGTTTGTTGGCAGCTGTGGGGCCTGACCGAAACGCCCTTTGGACATTCACCGAAGTTTTGTTTTGGCACCAGCTCACGAACCTTGTGAACTACCCGAAGCAGCCTTTCACTTTGACTGAGAAGTCACGCATGTTCGATCGTTTCGCAACTAGGTTTACTTGTTCGTGTCCTTCTTCGGTATGGACCAAAACAAGCGTTTCAACCTTTTGCAAGGGCACACTCGTTCCAGAGGGTGTGTGGGTGCTGCTCTTTGGCAGGACCTGTTGACTGCGCCTTTGCGTTGGGAAAACGACGAAGAGTTCCTAGTCGAGAGACAGGTTCTTAACTTTCAGGGGCCGTGAGACCAGACTGTTCGGATACATCTGGACCCCATGAATCAAAGAGACCCAGCCCTAAAATATATTGATCCCGCAGTGAGTGCTAGGGTCCCCCTTTTGCCACCGAAGTTGGCATTCAAGACGTGGCTCACATGCCTCATTTTAAGGGTAGCCCTGATTTTATAGGCGACCTCCAGGAAAACCCAACGTTGACATGGCTCAGCCCAGGTTTGTAAGGGGAGATACTTCTTGTGCACGCGGCTTGGCTCGCGACTGGGGGGAGCCTTCGCCGTGGTTGGCTCGGGGTCCCTGTGGAATGAGCCCGCAAACGGAGCCATCCAGGTGCCTTCCTTGAAGGCAACACCAAGTCCCAACACCCCAAAAAGGATTCCCTGAGAACTGGCCTCATTTTTTTTTTTTTTTTACCATGATCGAAGTCACCCCCTAAGTGGTGGGTTAAAGGGAAACAACCCCATGTTCTGACTTTGATAACCCCCAGAAAGCGTCAACAAAATGACAGGAGAAGTAAGTGTTTCCCTGCGCACAACGTGATACTCTCCAGATGACACGTGAACTGCAAAAGTCACCAGTTTTGAAAACATTTGCTTTTGCGGGGGACCCTCTTTGGGGTACCATGTTACTTTTTATCGGAGTACTTTATGTAAAGGTACAACGACCAACCCAGCAACGGGCCTTGAGCACCAAGACATCAACAGCATTGCCACAAGTCAAACCTGGCGTAGTTGAAGGTTGGAATTCGGGTCCGGGCAACGAGTGCCGCCCAAGTGGAGCACTCGTTCGCTTCGCTGGGACTGTTGCCTTTGGCTTTCCGTTGAAGCCAAGCCCAAAACAGGCAGTTCTCTCCCTCTATTCCCCTCTTTGACGCATCGTCCCATCGCAAGGCAGCCCATCAGAATTTACGGTAGGTCCGAGTGGGCGGGCGCGTCTTTGAGTTCCCCTTCTCGGGTCTTTTTCGAGACCATGAACAGGACACCGCCGTTTTGGTTGGCACGGAAATCGTTTGGCTAGGATTTTTCATGGGGAACCCCCTCAAAAGTGGTTGGTGGACATAGATCCCCACCTAAATGACTGCCACCAAAGGGTCCCTCTTTTAGCCATTTGAACCCACACGGGCTGAACGGTGGATCTTGAACAGAAGGGATTTACAGGGTGGCGCTGAGTCAACGACGGCGAAACCGGGCAAGCACAGGTTTGTGGTTCTTGACCCGATGCCGTATGCGTCAAACTGCAGCCCCGTGGAGCTCCCTTTCTTTCCCGATAACTTGGTCGCTGAAAGTAGCTAGTGCAATTCAACTCTTTTGGTGTCGTTCCCTGACAGACACGTCTGCGTTGTTGCATTTTGCTTGGATGTTAGGACTTGAACTTCTTGCCAACTAAAGTAACTAAAGGGTTTTCCATTAAACCACTAAAAGTTCTTCACTTTTAGCAGGGGAGCAGATCTTCGCCGCCGGGTCGGGTTTTGCGGGGCCGGATTTTTTTGGTCGCAGACCGCTGGCTCGGGGCTCGGGGCCGGACGTCACAGGCTGCTGCAGGAGAACGGCTCCGAGTTGGAGGACTTCGTGGATGTCGCGACGCTTTTGAAGCCGGAGCTCACCGTGGTGCGGCAGAGCCTCGGAGGATCGCTCGAAAGGCGGGTCGGTTCGGAGGGGCTGAGTCTCACAGTGGGTTTGTCTCCAAAGACGTGTTGATTTTTTTGAGGATGCCTTTTTTTCGGTTTCTTTTTGAAGAGGCTGCAGCAAGGGTGCCCTGAAAAGAAAGACAGATCCGGGGGCGGGGGGTTTGCAACTTTAGCCTCCTTTATGCCAAGCCAAAGGGCTGCGGGTTGGCTAAGCCTGGCAAGGGTTGAAGGGAGGTGGTGGCCTCGTGGTGCGGATCCGACGTGCTCCCCTCACAAGCTCGCTTGGGATTTTTGCCGCTCCCGCAAGCCATGAAAGGGAAAATCCTGGCCATCGGCCCAAGCCTTATTGGTTGGGATCCGAAGTGATCCCAACCGACCATGGTCGGTTGAGGGAAGCCTCGCGGATGTGGAGCATGTTGTGCGCGCCCTTCCACGCTGCGCGACTTCTGTCTCGGCGGGCCCAAAAGTCCCGCCAGCAGTTCGGGCACGGGAGCATGGCGCGAAGGCCCCGTGCAGAGGGTCCGGCCGCGCTTGAGGATGCCAGCTCCGTGGCTGTGCTGGGTGATCGGCTTTCAAACCAAACATCCTCCTCTTCTCGCATGCGCCTTGTGCTCTTGCTCTTCCCGCACGCGCAGCAAGGGCTCCTCCTCCTCTCTCAAGTCTCTCCTGACCTCGGTCTGCAGCTCTTAGCCTCCTCCATATCCCTGCCAGAACAGCGTGAACTTGTCCGGCGCCGGGCTTGTACTGTTGGGGATGTCTCGCGTGCTCTTTAAGGAGCCGCGCCTTCTAAGCTTGCCACCTGGTCCAGCAGCAGGTCCTGGCCGCTGCTCACTTCCCGGTCCACGCACAGCTTCCCCCCCAACACTCCAGCTGACCAGGCTTGGTCGTGGCCAGAAAACAAAACAGAGGAGATCAACCTTGTAGCCCAGCCCAGAGGAATAATCGTTTGGACCAGGTATGGGCATCGCCTTTTTTTAATGGGGTTGCTCGTGCGCCAAGGTCCCTCCCATGATCGCCGGAGAACCTTCCTTCTTCATCCTGGGGTTCGGACATCCCTCGCCGGGCAGTCTGGTTTCAGTTGCTGACTGCTTCCACACTGCCAGCGCCTTACGTTCTTGCCTTCCTCCTTTTGGTTATTCTGGACAAGGTCGCAGTGGTCCTTGGGAAGATCGCTGCCCAGGTGTTGTTCAGGCTCCAGCACTAAGGGTGGACGCGGAGCCTTTGCCGACGCTGCTACCATGGCGGGGTCACTGACCAAAGAGAAGGAGGGGCCAAGCTACGAGCAAGCGTTGGCGCCTGCGGAAGCTGCGGGCCCGGATGCGGCCTGGCACTTGGTGGCTGCATGGGTCTTGGGAAAAAGCGCGGCCTGGAGGTGGACTGACTTGCTTTGATGGACTTTCTGGGTGGCCTTGCTGGTGATTGTCAACTTCTACCTAAAGCAGCGCCTTGGCTCTGACCAAAAGGGATTGACGAAGGTGAGTCAGGTCATCCACCAGGGCCAGCTGGAGGTCCTCCGTGTCCTTGTCAGACGGAGTCCTCATTGAGCCTTCGCTCATGGCTCTGGCGTTGGGCTCATAATCCTTGTGCGGATCACGCGCTTTTTGATCCTCTTGCAAAAAAGGCTGCGACAATCTCATGTGCAAGGAGCGACGTGGTTACAACTGGGAGTTGGGTGGGGAGATGGTGGGGCTGTTCATGTTCAAATTGGTGAAAAGGCAACGCTTTCGCTGGTTCGTTTGAAGGCGCTCAAGATTGGTTGTTCTGTGTGTTGGTTAAAGCAAGACTTCAAGATGGGCAAATCATTCAAAATAGGGAAACACTGTCTGCTTTAAAAATGGCCGTCAGCATGGGAGTCCTCCCCATTCTCAGAGACCTACCTTTCCCTTTCTTTCAGTGAGTTCTATGTTTCGCGCCAAAAAGAGGGAGTCGACTTTGGAGGGTCCCAGCTGCGTCCAAGGACCCCCGTGTGGTCCCCGGATTTGTTGGCGGCGGCGCGGCGCGGGGACTTCATGGCCGCGGGCCGGGCCCTCAGAGCGGGGCGCGCGGACCCCGACTCCGCGGACGAGCGTGGCTGGACGGCGCTGTGCTTTGGGGCTGCGGCGGGGGATGAGTCCATGGCGCCTCGACTGCTGGCCGGCCGTGTTTTCTTTTTTGTTCTTCCGTTTTCTTTTTTGACTGGTTCGCAAAGTGAGGAGTGGTGAGCTCTAAGGTTTATATACGTACAAATATATGTATATATAGACGTGCATACACCCTTTGTTTGGTTTCAGCTTTTATGGGATGCGCGTTTTAGAACAGCAGGGCCTACTTTTCAGGGACGACGCACATAGTACCCATGTTGCAAGAACGGATCGGATCGCGAAGGGAAGGTTCCTTCCAAATCAGGAACTTTGTTGGCATCACGGCAAACCTGGCCGAGCTAACCACCTTGAAAGTGGTTGGACATAAATTTTAGCTAGACGTCAACCAAAGGGTCGCTCGAAATTCATACGCTACTTGCCTACTAAGTGTCCGAACCACCGTATTTTTTGAGAACACCAGCCTGTGGGTGGTCAAAATTTGAAGTTACCAGGAGTTGGACCGCAGTTTTTTTCCATGTTTCCCTTGTCCTGGGCACCCCATTTTGGGGACCCCTTCCTCCCACTAACATCGCGCCTGTGGAAAGGGTACCTGGAAGAACAACTTCCTCTTGAAGGGACCCCCTGTCAGGTGCCATGTTAGTGGGAGTGAGGGTATAACCTTTTTTTGACCACCAGAGCCATGTCTAGGTCCTGCAGTAGTGCCCTTGTACCCTTTTTTCCCCTACGAAAATCGGCTACAGCAAAAACATCGGAGACCCTTGTTGTAACCTCTCTACTGGAGGGCGTAGAGCCATGTGGGTATGGGTCAAAATTAGTCCACAAGGGGACCGCGGGTTTTAGTCCTTCTTTCCATTTTACCAGGGTCCCCAAAATGGTGTGCCCAGCTAAAGGCAAACATGAAAAGTAAAGCCTTGGGTCCAACTCCTGCTAGCAAAACCTTTAGGGCAACCCATTTTGGGCGCCGATCTTTGACCAGAGCCATGTGGTAGGGAGCTGTCAGCCTGAGGTGCGGCTCCTGCACAAGGCCTCCGCCGACCTGAGCCTGGAGGGGCCGGATGAGCAGACGCCCCTCTTCCTGGCGGCCGAGCAAGGAGTCCGGGGACCCGTGGGGCAGGTTGCCAAGGGATGTTAGGACTGAAGGACCGTCTTTTTTTGTTTTTGCAAACTTTGTTGGTTTTCCAATTAAACCGCTGAAAGTTAAGCTTTTCGCAGGGGAGCACAAATCAACCGAGAGACCGAGAGATGGGTGCCTCACCAAAGCCCGAAGAGAAGGATGCGTTTGAGCCAGTGGAGTCATTTGAGCAAGCCGACTTAGAGAGCCAAAAAGGAAGTGCTTCAAAGCACAGGATTTTCAGAGGATTTAGAAACTCACACAAAGAAGCCTAATGACAAATTTTTGGGGACATGCGAAACGATACTCGCCTTCTGAGAAAACCAAACGCTCACTATTCCCAGGGGTTTGGTTGTGTTCAGCTTCAGCCCGTTGAACCACGAAGAACCAGAGGGCCATGGCCTGTCCGTCGCTCAAAAATGGGGGAGCCATTGCTTGGCGGGAGCTAGCGGGGCGGAGCTGGGGGCCTTCGGGCTTGCGGCTTGTTTTTGTTGGGGGGCCGCCCGGAAAAGCGGGCGTTGCAAGCCTTTTGGGGCACTTAAGGTCATTGATCAAAGATGCTCATGTCAGGTTTCTGTCACGTTTTGGAGGTTTTCATTTTGGGATACGAGGCTCACGGCAGGTTTTGGATTGTCATCTTGCCAGCAGGGTTATATTAGTCGGCACCTCGAGACTGCAAAAAGAAGACGCTGGGGCCACAAGAGTGGCTTCATGTCGAGGTGGCAAATTGCGAATACTTGGGTGTGGCTCAAAATTAAGCGATCGGAGGGGCAAACCGCAGGTTTTGGTCCATGTTTCCACGTACCAGGGCAACCCATTTTGGTACCGGTTTTGCGAGCCACAGCCACTTCAGGGCCGGAGATTGGTTTCTTTTGAGGTCACGCTCAGCGAGTAGGTTGAACGTGGCTAACAAGTTGTGCAGGGATTCCCCCCCTCAAACTCAGGAACCTCCACGATAAGGAGACCATTTCGGGAGGGGCGGGGATGGCAGCCGTTTCTGCGATGCTTAGCGTGTGGCGTTGGTTTGGAAACATACCCAGATATGCCCTTTGCTTTCCCAAAAGCCGTATTGCGCCCCCATCCGATTCCTTCTGTTGGTCGCAGGACGCCTGAGTCTGGTGCAGTATCTACTGGAACACAGGCCGGACGTGCGATGTGGCCGTTGTTCCGCTTGAAACGACGACGGCGTTGCAAGTTGGTGTCCTTGGTGTTCTGACTTGGGATACTCGTGGTGGTGCTTTGGACAACTCTCAGGGACGAGCGGCTTTAAGTTGTTCTGCAGGTGTGACGCCAACAAGGTTGACTTCTATGGCATGTCTCCGTTGCAGGCGCTGGGCTGAAAACTCTCGGCGGCTTACGAGCGACTGCGGTGAGGCTCCAGGATCAAGGTGCCGTTCATTGGGTGTTCCATTGATTTTTTGGGCCGGAGAAAATCATTAGTCACCGACCCTAGAAAATAAAGTAACGGGGTTGCCCCTCCAATTAGACAGTTCACATTTGCTTCAAGGAAACTCAGACCTCATTTTGCCCAAGGACAACGCCACACCAAATGGTTCTTCTTTTGCAGTGGACCAACCATTCAACTGGGTTCTTGCTGCGGCGCTTGGCGATCATCTGTGCTTCACTTCTCCGGAGCGAGTCTTCATGGCTTGGGGGCCCAAACTGAGCGGCCGTGGACTCGACTGGCATGAGGGCACGGGTCAAGAAAAAAAAGGCCAAGACTTGGACCGCAGGTCTTGGATGCATTTTTTTCCTCCCACTCCCCAGGGCCCAAATTTCGGTTACGCTTCGGTTCCAAGGTTTTTGGACCGTTCCCTTGAGCCCTAGATCCGACTTTTGATCCCATGGGGGGATTGGGACCTTTTGGAAGGCGACTGGGGGGGTTGGACCATGTCAGTGGCAAGCCAAAGCAGAAGGCTCCAAGCCAGTCGCTTTGCTCTTCTTTCGGCTCGATCCATTCTTGGGCCAGCCCCCTGGATCGGAAGTGACGCCTCCGAGACGCCTCCGAGGCGGCCTGCGGCCGGGGGCTGCGCGCGGTGGCGCGGGCCCTCTGCGACGCCCGCGCGGCGCTGGATCTGAGGGACGAGGACCGGCGGGTCCCGTCGACCCGGGGGGGCCCCTCGGGGCCGGGGACCGCGGGGCCGCGGGGTCCTCTCGCAGATTTCCCATCCTGAGAAAAGGGCTCCCTATGAAGAGACAAAGAAAAAACGGTTGGAGGGTGCTTTGTGCCATGACCTTTTGCTTGCCAACTTAAAGTGAGTTTACAGAAAACAACGTGGGGGGGGGTGTTTTTTCTTGCCAGCTGAAAATGGAGTTTCTTTTTGGTGGTGTGTCTTGACTTTTTCTGAGTTGGTACGCCCTTTGTCGGCGGCTTTAAAGGAAAACCAAAGGACAATCGGAACCCATTTTGGGGGTCCACTAAAACAGTCTGCACATCCATTCATGCAGTAACTAGGTTACCATGGTCACAAGCCAGCAAAGCCCAGGCAGTGCTATTCAACCCTATTTGTAACCCTCCTCCCCAAGTTCACGTTTGATCATTGCGAGACTTGGCTGCGGCTAACCTTTTGAACGTTTTTGGTTTCTCATACTGTGGGTGGACGAAATCCACAGGGGAAGCATCAGCCCAGGGTGTTTTAGGTGGTGCAGGATTTCGTCCATCCACAGCAGTTGTTCCTTCGAAGCTTCAGGTTCTTGTCAGGGCTTGGGTGAGAGACGGAGGCGGTGGGGGAAGGGCAATCTTGAGGCTCGACTCATAGGCAGTCCGGTCATAGCCAGCGGAACAACGCGGGGGTGGTTGACTTCTGCCGACAGTTCTAAGCAAGACCCCCCAGTTACAAGCATGGTGACATCACCAATGTGAAAGCAAATGGCACACCATCTATCTTCACCCTACCTGAGGATGGCGAGACTGCGCTGAGCGCAGCCTGCCGATTGGGCTCTGTGGCTGAACCTGTGGCAGGGAGCTCAGAAAGCGGCATGGCCCCATCGTCCACTGAAGGGAGTTGAATTGGTTTGTCCCCCAAAATGGTCGGCTCCAAGACCAAAAAGTCGGGACACTTCTTTGGGGATAGGCTAGCACGGCTTCCTATCAGACCAAAAGTTTTTTTGAGAGTACCCCTTTTTTCTTCTCCAATTAAGACCAACCAAGAGTGGATACCCTGAAAAGACCAAGGGGGCCCCCAATTGAATCAAATGCCTGGGAACACCTAGGCAGGGCGATTGGAATGGTTCTGGATGTTTTCCAGGCTCCTGCATGAGTCTCAGAAGTTGCCACCACCCCAAACTTGCTGCTCCAGGGGAAGACGTGCTCTTTTTTTTAAGCGTGTATGTGAGGCTTATTCTAGGGGAAGCTTGCCCTTCAGAGAACCACCAATCACCCCCTAGGTTTATGCACTCGGGTCCATAGTAATCGGTCCAATAGGCGGCTTCAGGTCCTCATGTGCCACCTAGTGGCTTTCGGGTGTCTTGCCTGGGGATTTATATGGCTGGCTTTTTTTTTAAAGTTGGCATCCCCTTTGATGTGGCTTTAAAAAGGGATCCAAAAGGAACACCTCCATGTTGCATGCAATCCCTGGGAACATCCTTTTCCAAATTCTTTTCGTTTGGAGTTGGTTGGGTAGCGGCAACTGCGAACATCCTTTCAGAAGTAGAGGCCACCGGAGCCGTTAGTTTGCACCACCTGCGGGGAGGGGTGTGTGTGTGTGTGTGTGACTTTGACGCTGGAAGAGTAATGGGGCCAGATAGAGGGGTGTTACATTTGAGTGAAGTTCTTTCACTTGTCGGGCAAACCGCACTCTGAAGCCGTCTGGTGGTCAACATACCGAAAGGGGCAGTTGGAGGCATGCCAATCTTGTCAACCAATAGAAAGGGCTTGAGCAGATGACACCTGCTGAGGTGAGCCATACTCAAAATCCGGATAACAGCAGGTTGGGGACAGTCAAATTCCCATAAATAGGCGTGGCAAATCCACCTCGTTTGTTCTTTAGAATGGGGTTGGGTAGTTTGTGTATCGTCAACTTCGGATTAATCCGAA